TCTACTATATATTAATTAAATTATAAATATATCAATTCATGTGAATATGACTGAAAAATTTCATTTTTTCTCAAAAGGTGGTGTCTATTTACTCGTGACCACGCTGTGTACATAAAAAAATGTGGGATATGCCCATTTTTGGTCATTTTAGGGTGGTCAAAAGATCACAAAAAGCATAATTTTAGAGGTTTTGGTCCATTTCTTAGCCATATTTCGACCACTTTACATGAAATTTAGTACAAAGAAACTCTTTTTGAAGGTCCCAAACAGAGATATAAGACAATTTTGTAATTTTTGTTTTTTGCTCAATTTTTCAGCAAGGAAAGTACAATTCAGGGTTTTTGTGAACTACTCATGTGTATTTCAACCAATTTACATGGGATTTGGTACAAAGAAACTGTCGTGATGTAAAAGACTGTTTGGTTTAAATATTAGTGATTAATTTATATTTGTGAGTGAATATTTTATTTTAAGTTTTGTTATAATAAGAGTTAAAAGCAGACAATTGTAGAAGGTTTTGGTAATAACTAATTTGTGTTGAGAATGTAGAAAGTGGCCAGATGACTATGTAATGAAGTTATAGATAGTGTAAGATGAGTGGGAAGCAGCAGACAGACAGTATTAGATAGATAAAAGCAAAGAGAAGATAGTTGGTGTGACGCTAAGAAACTTAAAAATTATAGGCCTAATGTTTGATATATATATTAGAGTGAAACTAACAGTGGAAAAATAAATAAGAAAAAATAAGTTTATTCCATTAAAGCAAAATTGTAAAGTTATTGACTCAGTCTGGGTACACTTTGACAAAAGAAACATAGGATCTTCAGAAGAAAGAAGACCACAATTGTAAGTGAATCACACCAGACTAATATTGCGATAGTATTAGAGAAAATAGTTGGGCTTGTCAACTGAGATTCTAAAGTAACTGAACAGGCCTTAGTGGAGTTTTGACAAGAAGAGGAGAACTATACATATACTGATATAACATTTACAATATGCTTATATTCTTTATAGTGTGAACACTTTATTGTACATACATTTAATTTGTTACGAATATGTATGTTATTTTGAAAACAAGTAAAGTGTGTGCTGTTTATTCATTGTTGAATTTATCACTAACAAGTGACAGACACCTATTGTAGAAGAATCCTAAGCTCAACAACTACATAGTATATATTTTACTATTAAGAAATGTAAGTGAAAGCCATTTGTTTCAACAATTGACAAAAAAACAAAAAAGAAACAGAACCATTATACATTATATATTATTTTTTAAAATCTGAGAGATACTCAAGCAGTGATACAGATAGTTTTTGATTTTTGTCCATGTTTGGATTGCATGGTGGAGATGTATTGCATTCACTCGCAAATGTTGGGCTCTTTAATTTGTTTTCTAAAATACATATTTAAAAGTTACGTGAATAGTTTTTGGACAACCAACATAAAATAGGCCTCAAGGCTGAAGTAAGTGCAAAATTTTCTGATTTTTATGTATTGTAATATGTTTGTTAACAAAAGTAAATAAAGTGTGAAAATTAGAAACTTTTCAGTTTAGATAGGAAAACGTAAATGGAAAAAAATTTGCATGAGGAATGCATGCGATCTGCCATATTCATGAAGTAAGTTGTAACTCAATACTTTGTTTACCGTAACCCGCACCAAGTTCTCACTTGGTAATTTGTTGTTTTTTAAACTAGTTAAACATGATTTGAAAAACAATAAAACAATTAACGTAAATGAAAGCATTTGTAGAAAGGTTAGAGACTTATAGCTGTTAGGATAAATAATTGTAATTGTCTGTTACAATCTGTAGTCATTCTAGAAAAAATGTATGTTTTTTTATTCCATATTTTTCAGCTTTTGTTATGGATGATTTTCATACAATTAGTGTTAAGATAAAGAAAAAATAAAGTATAAAGTTTTACTGAAAACACTTTCGATATTCATTTAGGAGGTTATGCAAATGAAATATGAAACTGTAAGATGAAAAGAAATATTTTTATTCATAGCATAAAAATCACCTTTCACTCAGACTGACTCGTCGAAGGCTTTTTTAAGTTTCTCAGATACATCTTTAGAAGAAATACTTTATTAAAAATCATGATTTTCTGTGTACAGTAGACTTTTCATGTTTGATAAAAGCTAGCCAAATTTCATGAAGATACAATTAGTGAATTAAGAATTATAGTGAACATTAATTCTCCAATATGGTGTTGATCCAATGTACCAACCCTGTACACATAGGAATAATAGTGATATCTGTTTTTGAAATGCTTTTGTGTGCATGTGTGTGATGTTTTATTGGGATTTACTTGTGAAAATAGATAGTAAATATTAAATATATGTAGCAAAATAAATCAAACATGTGACTGTAGAGGTCTTTCTTTTTTAATTTTGTATTTATGATATTGCTTTCATTTTGGGTTGTTTTAGGTTTTACAGAACTCACTTTGAATGACCAGATGAGGCTGCTTCAGACATCATGGGCAGAAATATTGGCTTTATCTTTAGCTAACAGGTAAGTTTCTGAATTTCATCTTAAATTGACAGATAGGCCATAGAAAGCCTACTAGTGAAATTGGAAGGTACACTAGACAAAATATTTTTTATGAATTGAAAAATAATCTCCTGAGAACAGTTAATAATTAAGTGGCAAGCTACTGAGAATTATCTTAACTGGTAGGTAAGCTACTGAGAATTATCTTAACTGGTAGGTAAGCTACTGAGAATTATCTTAACTGGTAGGTAAGCTACTGAGAATTAACTAATAGGCAAGCTACTGAGAAATATCATGAACTAATAGGCAAGCTACTGAGAATTATAATGAACTGACAGCTAACTTGTTGAGAACTTAATATCATCTGAAAGTTAAACTATCAAGATCAGTTGTTAACTGACATAACTTTTCAAGAACAATTATACACTCACAATAGTTTCTTGAGAATTATCATTGACTTGCAAGTTTTCTACTAGCTGATAATTAACGTGGCTTAATATTTGAGAACTAAGCTGTAGAGATCATTGTCAAACAGTTTAATTACAAAGACAATTAGTGGAAGCTATCCTATACAAGTCATCAGGTGCCAGCTAACTTCCACAAATCATTAGATGACAAATAAGTTACAGAGACTAAAAACTGACATCTAAGCTAAGGAGATCATAATCTGATAGCTAAGCTATAAATATAAAACAATAGCTAAGTTATAGGGATTATACTGTGATGGCTAAGCATTAGAGATAATAATCTGATAGCTAAGCTAAGGAGATGATAATCTGATAGCTAAGCTAAGGAGATGATAATCTGATAGCTAAGCTAAGGAGATGATAATCTGATAGCTAAGCTAAGGAGATGATAATCTGATAGCTAAGCTAAGGAGATGATAATCTGATAGCTAAGTTATAGAGATTATACTGTGATGGCTAAGCGTTAGAGATAATAAACTGATAGCTAAGCTGTAAGGAGATTATAAGCTGACAGTTAACCCAAGGAGATTATAAGCTGACAGTTAACCCAAGGAGATCATAAGCTGACAGTTAAGCCAAGGATATCATAATCTGGTAACTACACTAAGGAGATCATAAGCTGACAGCTAAGCTAAGGAAATCATAAACTGATAGGTAATATGAGTTCAGTCACTCTAACTGACCTTTGCAACCACCAGGTAACTATGAAAGTATCCATGCTATAAGTTTTAATGTAGTAAGTGTATATTCACAAAATTTGATAGGTTTTTAGTAAACATTACACATTTTTCTATGCACAAAAAAATCAGATTTTTTAATTAATTATCTTTACGAAAGATATGTGTGAATGAATATATGGAGTAAAAGTGTGACTCGGACTTGTCTGACTGCAAGGTGATATCCCTGTTAAGGTTAAAAATACTTTTGTCATCTAACAGTTTTTAAATTTCATTTGTATAACCTTTAAAACTTCCTAAATGAATATCAAATTGTTTTTTTTTTATAAAACTCTAAATTTTATCTGTTATTTTCTCAAAACTAACACTATGTAGCAAACAATGTTCTATAGCTATCATAATTTAACTGAATTCCTAACTGAAGCATAAGTGCCTTAAAATAATTCCTTTAACTTCTTAGTTTGAACTGTTGGTTTCTGTCTGTTGGTAAAATAATTACAAATCTCTGCTGAGAACAAGGTATCATTTTATGTCACTTGATAAATTAAAATTGTTTTCTGTTTATTATAAATGATGCTACAACAAATGTCAGAGAGATAATTAATTACAGTTTGTGAAAGAAGATGCGATAGGAGGGCATGGAAGGTGGTGGGTCTGACTTTCTGGCTTATATCTCAATAAACAAAAACATTAAAGGCTATAAAATTAGTCTATGTCTTAGTAACTGAAGTTAAGTTCATCACAGAGGGGTGAAGGAAAAAAATAGAAAATGGGCAAGTTGGAACAAACAAATGTCATGTTACACAGACAAAGGGAGAATAAATTTATTTAAGTATTTTCTTTTTGAACTAAAAAATGAAAATATATTAAAATTTGGTTTATTAACTGTTTTGATGCCAAGTTTATTTGTATAAATTGACAATAAATGCACATTTCGATCTACCTATATTGAAAGGGTTAAGCTACAAAGAGATCATTTACTGACTGTGAAATTTACAGAAATCATAAACTGACAGCTAAAATACTATATCATTAAATAACTGATACTTTATAGTATCAGACTGCTCTGGTGAATTTCAGTATTATAAACTCTTAGCTATGCTTCATAGACAATGACCCCTACACAGCAGAGATCATAAAGTGATAGTTGAGTGATTGTCTTTTACTGAGTTTGTTTCAAATATTGTTTACCCCATTATAAAATCATGATGATGAAAATCCCCACCACACATAATATTAGTAAACTCGAACCATTCTCTACCATTTATCCAAATACTGATGTAACTGCATCACTGTAAAAATATTGCTAAATATATAGAACTATATTACCATCCATTGTAGCTTGTTGGTCAGAAATATAATCGCACATTCTTCACCTATATAATAGTAGTGAACTTTTCGTACTAAATATAAGTATTACTGATAATGTAATTGTATTACTTCTTAGTATAAAGAACTTTATTATCTTCCCAAAGTATACCTTTTATAGTTGTTTTTTTGTTAAAGCACAGACTTGTATGTGATATATACATTATACATTTACTTATTACATTGATTTTTTTATCAGTTGCAACAAAGAAGCAATACATAATTATTTGACCTTACTCAGAAAGCATATCTAAATAATTTTTACATCGTAATGGAGATCAGTCATTAGAATAGAAACAAATTCAACAATATTATTGTACAGTCATATTGGCTAAATTTGTTAAATATATATAAAAAGAACAATCTTAAAACTATTACTATTGTATTGTTGTTATGTATATTTATAATTGTTAAGATCACACAAAATGAAATAAATTATTTGAAGTGTTCTGTGCAAGATTAGTTCAGTGTAATCAGTAGTAAAAATGACACATTGCATCCTATCACAAATTTGAACACTTTTTACCATAGTGATAGTACCAGACTATTTTCAGAAGAAAGTAAAATTTGTTATAGATGTATTTTTTTTGTTATATGCCTGTCTTTAATTTAACTGGGACAGAAGTGAGAGTTAAAGCAAAAAGTAGATTTAATCCAACATGTTCTGGATGAAAGTACAAATTATTTCTATTGTTTAAAAAGTGGGAATGCATCAAATTAAAAACTTGTGGCATTTTTACATAAGAAATATAGTACAGTGGCAATTAATAATCATAATAGAAGTTTTTTTAAAGAAAAAACTTGGACACCTTTAGATGTGGTCCATGCAAATGTTATTGTGCTACATTGCTTGAAATTTTTAAGAGAATGTTTGTAAATTTGTAAGTATGTAATTCCTACATGTTTAGAACTATAGGTGAAGTACAATTACATTGTTTGTTCAGAACATCAGATTGTGATTTCATTAGAAATGTTGTATATTTTTCTTGTTAGATAGAGCATGCTAATGTTTGTTTTAGTTTAAAAATGTGTGTACTTACTTTTAAAATAAAAGCTTTCTAATAATATTGTATCTTTTTATATTTCACAAGTAAACTAATTTTATAAATTTATGTTTGAAATTGGTTTTACTTTTGTAAATGACAGTTTAAAATTAATTATAGATGAAAAAAAAAAACATTTGGCTTCTAAAGTTTCTGTATGACATTCACACTTTAATTAACATTTTGTGGAATAATGTCATGTCTTTGATTAGACATTTCATTGTTGACAGTGATCATGCCATTGTAGAAATAACATGTAATTCCTTTTCTTTTACCTCAATACTTTTTTTCTAAGATTGCATAGATTATGCCAAAAAAGTGCTGGTTTATTTTTATATTTTTGTTTGTATACAACTTTCATTTGGGCATTAATCATCAATCAAAAGAAATTTTTAAATAGAAACAAATTTTGGAATCTTTTATAATAACTTATTTTCATTAAAAATAGTTCATCTATGATCAAAACACAATTTTCAAATTTTTACTTTAAACCCTTTCTTGATTGTTTTTGGTATAGGTCTCGCCAGCTCTCTGGCTCCTTGCCCAAACTGATGTTTTCACCTGATTTTATTATGGATGAGCAACAGGCCTGCGACTGTCGAGCTGAAGACCTCTTCATGCATATTATTCAGCTTGTGCTCAGGATAGAACTTGTTGGCATGGCTCATGAGGAATATCTTCTAATCAAAGCTTTGTTACTTACCAATGCTGGTAAGTGCTATAATAGTAATTTTTTTGTATTACTTTGCATTTAATACCTCATATTTGATTTTATATGAAAAACTCTTGTTAAATTAGAATTTAGCACCAATGTTAAGTTTCATTGGTTTGGTTCCAGATATCCACTTAGAAGATGCTCCTTCTGTTCACAAACTTCGGGACATTATGTTGATCGGGCTGCAGGAATGTGTGTGTGTGTTGCGGCCAAATAATGCCACACAGCATCTGAGTCAGTTGCTGCTCTGCCTGCCACTGCTCAGGGAATTGGATGCTGAGATCCGTCGATTCTGGAACAGTGTTCGCCATGAAGGGAAGGTAGCCATGAACAAATTGTTCATTGAAATGCTGGAATCTCATATCCCATTGCGATAAAGCTGCCACTTTAACTTGTTATTGTAATTACATTTGTATGCCCTGTGTTGCCAGATGAAGCCAATTAGAGGGTGTTTGTTGTTCCCTGTTTGATGGGTTTTACATTTCATCACTCATATGAAAACTTTCTGACAATGACATTGCTGTGTTTGTATTTCAATTGTTATTGCATTTCTCGATGCATTTTCATATTTTACTGTTTAGAGAAGACACAAAATGGTAACAGAACTATACGTGCAGAAAGTTTGTGTACAGCTAAGTTAGCTGTAACTGTTGCACAGATTGAAATATGAAAATTTTATTTCAGATCATTCATGAAAGTACCTGAATGGAGAGACATTTTTATTTTTGTAACTTGGATTGTGGACAATCTCAGGTTTCAACTGATCAATCATGAAAATGGTATCTTAGCAACAGACATATGTTGTTGCTATTTTAATTTTGAATAGCATACAGGTGGTTGGTGCATCTTAGTACAAATAATAGAGTTGGATGTTTTGTGATCTTCAAGAACATGAGAAGATTATTTCAAGAAGTGTTTTACAATATTTTGGTTGATGTGTTAGAAGTAAGTAGTTTAGAAGGCTGATTAGGGTTGGCCACCTTGTCCAAAGGGTTTAATGTCCCACTGATGGCAGTTGGGCACAGTTAAAAAAACAAAAAGCTGAAGGAAACAAAGAAAATATTAGGAATAGTGATGATAGTTTTAGATAGAAATATTAAGAAGAACTGAAGTAATAAATATGTGTTGTGCCATTCAATTAAAAGTCACGTAGAAGCACTTTCATAGAGGCAACGAAATACTTAGAAGTATAAGTGCTGGTTTCAGTGCTGTGTTTTGGTTTCTCTTGAGTTATGGTGAGATGGTTTCTAAATAGCTGTTTGTTTTCCTGTGTATAACAACACATTTCCCCGTCCAGAGTCTTCGCAGCATGTTGCCACACTGTGATAACATTGTAGTGTAAAGCAATCACTGATACTGAAAATGAGAATTTTTGAAAACCAGTCATGTTATAAGTTCAGAAATGTGATGTTTATTGTAACTGTTGAATTATGCTTCAAATCAAGAATAGAATTTTAGTTTATTGTTATTATTCTCACTTTTCACTGACCATTTCATAACTATGTCTACTTTGGATAATTTTTCTTAAAGCTGTACTTTTCATTTCATAAGAACAGGTATAAAGATGTTGTAGAACATTCATTATGATCATTGTACACTGAGATGATTTTTCCAATATTCTTACAAAAGACTGGAATTAGTAACTTAAGATTCAACTTGGCTGTCCTTCACTATTAGAACATTAATAACTTAGATTATTACAATAATTTGGTTATCTGATCATTAATTCAGCTATCCTGTTCTACTGTTCCTTAGCTTCGTATTTTTGACTGGTTAAATTATTAATCTGACTTATTAACATAATTAATGTGTCTAGCATTTTAAACTAGTTTACAATGGCACAACAAAACATTCTGCATCATGACACTCGTTAACTTACTAATCTTACTTGCTCATTAGCATTGTTTGTTATTTGACTATAGTATATTTGTTGACTAAGCTTACTATCTTATTACAATAACATAGTTAATTGGTGGGCTCATTATTTTTGTGTATCTTTTTAATTTCATTTAATTTGGTTAACTGTTGGACTTACTTTTACTTTAAAATTATCTAGTTTTCTGCCTTGATTTTTCCATTTTTTCTTGTTAATGTACTGTTGATTAATAGACGACATGAAAACCTAATTTCTAAAGCTTGTAAGGGGTTGTTGTGCAATTTTTGTTGTGGTAAGCCTTAAATGATATCTTGTGCTCAGTAAATGATTGGTGTTCAGAGAAATCCTTAGCAGAATATCTTACCTTTCTAATGGCTCTTGAACTGTTATGTTTATTTTATCATGACATAGAGTTTAACTGAAAAATTAGTGCATTTTTTAAGGTTTCAGTAAATATGTAAGTTGCATAAACCTTAAATGTAGTTTGTATACATTCATGAAGGAACAGGCAGATAATCAGAATAGGTACGAAAGTATTTGAATCCTTTATCACATATGTTAGTGAAACTTTTCTTAAAAGAATTTCTAAGCACTCCTCTTTACACAGTAGACAATTTTTTTCTTTTTTTGGGATGACTTGACTTATATAAAACATTCACACACAAAGTAATATATACGTACAAGCTTAATGTCTGTAAAGGGCCTTGTTTTTGAGTTAACACCACAGTGTATGAAAGGAAAAGAAGTATTGTGTTTTTGCTTTTAGAATTTGCATTTCAAATATATTTTCATGTTCATAAAATTCTCCAGGACATCCTAATATTTGAATATGAGTTTAGCCTGGATTGTAAAAGGACATTTGAATACATCTTGCAATACCAAGAATTTTTTATATCTAGTGGTTAGACTTTGAGGCTGTCTTTCAAGTGTTAATCATATCACCAAGGCTTAGTGTATTAATTGAGTTTTAATTCAACAATAGCTTGTGTGATAGCAGCTGTAGCATGCATTTAGTGCTTGTTTATACTTTGTTGACTACTTTTTTAGTGAAGCAAAAAGAAGCATTATAATTAGTTGGTTTTTAGTGGTTATCAGAGGCGTAGTGCTTGCTAGTGCACTGCTTAGCTTTCAAAGACTGTGTTTCATGCACTACTAGTATTTTTGTATCTGTTCTATTGCTTAAATTATGTTGTAACATATTTCCACTTTGCAATTTTACCAGATGCAATTAAAGTTCTCTTTATGTTATTACTATTCATGCACATATTTCTTGGAATTGTCATTGGCTGAAATAGTAGAGAACCTAAAATTTTGACCAATGGGAAATCTTCTTATCGCTCCTAAATGTGTTCTCCTTAAGGTAGTGACTCAGTAATCAGTCATCAGTGCAAGCTGTAAGATACAAAGTAGGTTTTATAATTCATTTAATCTATTATTAGAAAGTGAAGCTTTATGTTGTATGACTTCTTAAGATTCTACATTCACAATAGTACATTTAAATCTTGTGACATTTTCATTTTATTGTTCAGGGTTAATTAGTAATTCGTGGTTGCAAGATGTAGAACTGAAACAAATGTAAATTCAAGAGTAAAAAGAAAGCTTTTCTTTTAAGCTTAGAGAAGATTTTTTTCTTTTATTTAAAAGTTTTTGTCTTTTGTTTTGACCTTTAGTATTATCTTAAATAATAGAGAAGCACTTTGAGCTAAATATATCAGTTTCAATTGAACATATTATAAGTCAAAGAGAGTCTTAGATTTCATTTTATAGTACCTTAAAATTATCTTCAAATTTCAAGGATCTCATATTTTTCCATCAGCACCAACTTGTGGAGTCATCCTATGGCTGGTTGGTTTAATGAACAAGATTTCTTGATGACTGATAAAAGACTAAACAGTTTTTTTTGGTAAAGGCTGTCTACACACACAGACACACTAATGTAGAAAGGCATTGAGTACAAATATCTTAATAGAAATTGTTTTGAAGTTTAAGAGGTTTCAAATGTTTTCATTGTCAGTGTCAAAGACAGTTACCTTCTGAGTATATCTTACTCAATTATAAAGTGAGAAAAATTTCCTGTGCTGCACATATTTGCTGTTTTCTTGTCTTTCCAAATATGAAAAAGGAAGCATTTATTGAGTAGAAATTGAAAAATGTGTTCAAATAAAAGAAACTATCAACAACATTATAATGCTTTAAGTATATTTTTTTCATATAGTTTAAATTCTTGCAAGATAATGTAAAGTGAAGTAAGTTCACTGATTTAAAAAATGTGATCTAAGAGTTTATATATAATGTAAAATAAAATGCTTTAATTTCACTAAAATCTAAATCTCAAAGTCTATCCTCCCAATTCCTTAACTTACTTACTAATTTTGATTGTAATAGAGAAACTAAACCTAATATTATAGAAAATATTATGAATCTGTGGTCAGTTGTTTAGAACCTATACTTCCCTTTGCTATTGAGATGTCCTTTTTTATGATATGTGTTATCTTCCAATTGGAAGCTGTTTTACTTTTTTCCCTTTCTTTGATACTAAAGTCAGCTAAGTTTACTACTATCCCATTTTGTGTTTAAGTTCAAACACTTACTAAAACTGAATATTTAAACTACTGTTTCATTATGCTACAAATCTGGACTTGACTCTATCACTCAGGGTTATATCAAAGCACATTTCTTTCCTAAGAAAATTTGCCATCTCTCTATTTTGTGAAATACTTTGAAATATGTTTAATTCATAACTGTATATTATCTTCAGATTGCTGCAATCTACTTGAAAGTGTCTGATGTTATGAAACATTCAAACAAGAAGTTACAGTTCTAACGTTCTTAGTTAAAAATTACATTCAAATTTGGGTTGTATATGCCATTAAGATAAAAACCTGCCTTTTTCCTCCATATGTACCGATACTGAAACTTGCATTTTTTAATCATCATTAGTCTTTTCAGTTCCATGTGTTTAATTTAGATACATAAAACTGTTGGATGATGAACGCATAAACTAGTTTAAAGATGCAGTTTTTAGTAAAAATGTGAAGTTTGCAATTACACCAGTTTTTTGCTTTAATGTTGGAAATTATTTCAGAAATGAACAAATTAACATTTAAATATTTTCCCTGTTATTTCAACATTCAATGTTGGAACTTCCATTATTTATAACCATTTGAACTATTCCTATTATTTAAACATATTATGTTAGTTCACAACACCAATATTGTCTTTGTTTCCAATATTTCTTATGTTAAAATTGGAACACCCCCATTTTTAGTTGTACATGTATAATGGAAGTTCCTTCTTTAGTTTACAACATTAACATTGGACGTTATTTTGTTCTCCTCTGTTATGTTGAATTTTCACCCAGTATTTAGTAATGATATTGTGTTATGTTTGATTTTACTCGTTATTTTCTCACTTTATTGGTAGACTTTTCCTCAACATGTTACCAGGTTTTGTTGGAACTTTCATTTTTATTCATCCACATTATATAACCACATTCTGATAACTTAAACTATGAAAACTAGAACTTATCACCATGAGTATATATGAAATATACTCTTTTAATCTATCTAAAAACTTTCATCTAAAAGTATGGTTCCTACCTTGATGTCCATATTTCATTTGATTCTGGGAATTTGCATATTGTTTCCTTCATAATTTTATTTTTAAATAAACACTAATATACTGTGCTTACAAATTAATATCTAAATTTGAACGCAAATTTTTCTTTTTAATGTGGATTATATACCAAATATTTTAGGTAAGTTTTGAAATTAATATGGTATTCTCCATTTTAGCATTTAAATTGACGCTTCCTATGTTATTTTTTTAAGCAAATTAATTTTCTGAAAATTAATATGGAAAATTAAATCCAGTTTAAAATAGCTGAACATAGAACATAAATCTGTAACTCCTTTAATAGTACTATAATCATGTTATTAAG